ATCTATTAACACAGATAACATTTTGTATAATTACTAGTAGTCCCTTTTAATGTATTGTGTCAATAATACTAAACAGTAATCATAAAACAAAAGTTTATAAAACAAAGGGCCTATAGCTACCCACTACTTGGGAGAGGGACAAAGGGAGATAACTTAAAAAAAGATAAATTCATCTAGCTAATGTGCATTATAGCATATGTTGTTCTTCTTTTTTTTTCTTCAATTTTTGAAAAATTAAAGTGGTGCGTGGGGGCAAATGATGGATTGGAATATAATGAAATAGCATTATGCAAATAATAACTGAACGGAAAATTTGGGATACATTAAATGCATTACATTGTTTTTCCTCTTCATTATAATATACTCGGGGTCGACTTGTTGGCTAGAAACTCTGGAACCACTTTTCAATTAAAGCTTTACTATAGGAACAAAATATTAACACAATTTTGAGTATTGTTAGGCTGGAACACTAAGAGATTCTGCATAATAGTGCAGAAGGAATTAGTGCAATGTAAATTTGAAATGTATAGAATCTGTAGGGTCTTGATGATCAAAAAAGATTTTTCACAAGCTTGTACAGTAAACTTAATAATGATGGATAACATTGAAAAAAGAAACTTTATTATTTTAAATATATCGGGTAAACATTGTCATTCTGTCATTTAAATTTAATCAGCATTCTGTAATTTTGAATATTTTGTTCATATTTTGAAATAGAAACTAACAGTAAGTTATTAAAAAATGCCTGTTCAAACAATGTAAAACAACCTGTTACCATGCTAAATCTCTTAAAAGAACTTGATCATTTTTCAATTTAGACAAAACCGTACATCATAATATACAAAATATTGACTGACTGAATTGTAAACAGTGTAGACCATATTCAGAAGGCATGGATGCACTATAGCAGCATGGGTAGATTTATACAGCAGGCGGGCAATATATGTAAAAGTGTTACAAAAACAATATTTCATTGTGATACATGTTATTATTACAAACAGTCTGTGACTTTCTATATTAAGTTACAATGAGTTATTACTCTATGATTAATTAATTGCTTATCTCATCAAGCTAACCTGAATATTCATACAGTTGGATGAGGCTATTATAATGTTTGATACTCATTGTATTTTGAATTTGAAATTTCTTTAAATACAGATGAAATGTTCCAAAGTCCAGGCAGGATATAATCATAAAATGAGCAGAGTAAAGGTTGATACCATTCATTCATGCTACAGTTAATCATATTGTTTTCGATTCATATTTCTAAGAAACTTTGTAAAATATAAGAAGGGTTCTGACAAATGTTTTAAAAATTCATCATGACAGTTGGTATTCTATTTTTTATTGCAACAGAATAACCTATTTACATTCTGCTCCGTGCAAACTTTCAAAATGCAAATTGCATTGTTATAAAAAACAGCTTCATGACGAAATGTCCTTAAAGAATCTAGTTTCCTTCGTTGGATTGTTTTTTTAACAACGTACAATTTTGCTAGCCTATTTCTCTAGTTAAGGACTATGAACGTATTAAGTAACTCATGCTGGTCGCAAGTAATGCATGCAAAAGAATGAACTTCAATCATTCTTACAAAATTAAACCAATGGGAATAAAGTTGATTTTCGTAGCTGAAATTGCAAAAATATCTTTATTCCTAATTCTTCGGTTCCGAGGCAAGGGTTTTCTTAAGAAATATTGATTGAAGTATCGCATTTGCGCGTAATTTATGTAATACCAGAGAATGCATGCGCTGAGTTTTTTGTCACAGTGATAGATGCAAGTTTATGGGCCGTTTCTTCATGATAGGAAACTTTATGTTCGCAAGGAGGGTTGTAATGTTTAAGGCTTAACCTCACTAAGGCGTTAAGATTATTTCCTTGCAAGAGCTAATATTATTATTTCTGCAAGTGGGATAAAGAATTTTTGTTTCGTCTTGCATTCCTTTGTCAAGAAACTTGAATACTAAATGGTTATGGTATCTAATGAAACATGGACAATATTGAAAAATGCAATGAAATTTAAACTCACTCTTTAGTTGATGAAAACAAATTTTTAATTGATACAATTTTGGAAAAATTTGTATGTTTATTGTGTGTGTCTTTTCTAAAACATATATAAATACATTGATGATATATAGATATGTCATTATAGATGGATAGAGAATTTTTTTTTGGTTTTATTGTCAGTAGCATTGTCAAATAAAATGAATGATTTATGAGTTTGTTGCCTGTGTTTTTAATGGTCATCTTGTTAAAGTTGTGTCACTACTCTTTTAGTGGGAGGTATCTTTTTCCTCACTAATTTTTACATAATGTAAAGGAAAAAACAAAAATCCATGACTTTAGGGGACGGTTACATACAAATAAGCAAAAAAGTGTGGGAGTTTTTTTATTACATTATTAATCATGATTTAGAAGAAAGATATTGTTACATATATATAGATATAATTTTTGTCTTTCAATTATTTTAAGTGTCAAATATTAAAGCTGTATATGAGGGAAAATAAAATAGTTATTTACTTGTGTGTATCGATAATAACTTGATCCTTGAATTTACCCTGTTTAAAAAGTAAACTAAAAATTAAAATCTAAAATTGCATGTGTGATAAGATCAAAGAATCATGACAACTTTGTATAAGATGGCTTAAACAAATCAAAAGGGCAGTTCTTTGTGATGAGAAAATCAATGTACCAGCAACAATATAAAGAAAAAAAGGGCACATAAATTGAATGTCAGTGAAAAATGTTTTGCTAAATGATATTTGTAAAGCATGACCATTTGGCGTTATATCATTTTATGTATTGAAGTATTCTGATGTTCACAGTTTTCATGACATTGGCTCATGATAAATTGCACAATCTCCATCTCCTTGTCAAAATTGCATGTCCTAATGTAGATGAAAGCTTGTCAGAGGAATTTGTATCGAGGATTTACGAGTGAAAATTGCATCGCTGTGACAGGGCCGCTGCAGTGAGCTCCGTTTCCTCGTGAACAGATGTACAGCTATTGGACAATAGTTGATTTTAGGGAAAACTTTCAGAAAACTTCATTGATTTTATCTAATCTTAAAGCTTGAAATTTGTAAATTTGCAAGAATGTGCAGATTTTCTGCGCGTACAATTTTTGTTGTCAAGGGGGTACCTCAAAGGGGGAAGTTTGCGTTGCAGTGCATTTTGCGCGTTTGTCGCATTTTATAAAACTTTAATGCGTGATATGCAGATTTGTCAACTATTGCTGCAGGAATTTGTAGAATTGTTAATTGGAATGCATGAAATGCAAAATGTAGAAAATGTTGAAATTGCAAATTGATAGGGGTTGCTCGACATTTCAAGAAAATATTCCTTGGAAAGTTTTTATTTTCATTTTACAATTCAAATGTCAGTACAAATTTTTCTTTCAAATTGATGATGTAAATTGATTATGAAATTGAATATCGCAAATTAATTTAACCAAATATTTTCTTTTCTATTGATTTGAATACAACAATTGCTCTAAATGTTATTGATAAAAATAGGAAAAAACTGAAAAATGTTTTGTTTTGAAGCAATTTATTTTTTTCTTCTATTTTTATTGTTTCATTTATAAATGGAATTAAAATAACATGTACATTTTAAAAGTGCTTATTCATTAATACTTAAAAATTTTATGAATGTAAAATAATATTGTATATCAATTTCTAAATATATATTGTATATATAATTATTCAATATAAAAATAAAGATAAAGAAAATGTTAAATCAATCTCTTGTTTAGTTTTAAATAATTAGGAAGAAATTCTTGTGATATTTTTATGATATAAATTAAAGTTGAAGTTTTAGATATTCATGCAAATTACCAAAACTAACGTAATGTGATCAATGTAATTTAACTCTACCAACTTGTATAATAACTGCTTGAAAAATTACATTCAGTATTTACACTAGTTTCTAGAACATTTCATATTATTATTTTTACAATACTCATTCATGTAAATTCTTGAAATGTTTAATTGATGTAATCAGTACATTTATGTAAAAATTTAAAAACTGCTCTAGTGGCTTCCATTTTTGTAACTGTCAATTATCAGTCAGGGGATATGAAAATAAAGAATATAGAGACTGGTCAGTCTGCACTACACAGAAACATAGGCTTATCAGTCTGTATTTCACATGTTGTTATAAGTGTTTAAAATGCAAATGGGATGAAATATCAGATTTTATCTACAAGTATTTATACAAATTGTTTATAATATTTAAACTGTATATTATTTATATACACAGCTGCTGCAAATTTTCTATAAATTTTTTATTTAATTAAACATAATTAATGCTTTCTTTGACTTTTTGACATGTTTTATGATTGTGTATTAAAAGGTCCATTGTTATTTAATCGTTGCTTGTGTTATATTCACATACAACTATATATACATAGTACAGACCATTTCCATTTTGCCATATTAACAGTCCAAATTTTAATGTTAAATCTTGCACATGTTTAAACATAGCTAGCAAAATAAAGGAGCTCTAATCTGTATTCTGTCTAAAAGCAAATGAGTTAAATTCCTGGCACCATTGTATCAAAAAGTGTGTAATATTTTTTTTTAATAAAAACCCATAATTTTACATGTGAAAAAATGCTATAACTTTCAATTATGGATTGAAAATTATGCTCTGCAGAAATTTTTCCGCTCGGTAGTTTCCCTAAATTTGTACAAATTGCAGAGCAATAACAAAAATTATTTTCGCAATAATTAAAAAGGATTACTTGTGTTGGGTTTCATTGGAGACGTTTTATGCCATGCAGAGTGTATATTTCATGTCAGGGAGAGAACTTTACATTTTTCATGCCTCCATTTTTTATCCCTTTTTTTATTATCATTCCATGAGAATGACATGATTAATAATGTTACTAATTGTTTTTTATGTTAACAAAATTTTGTTGAATGAATGTTGTAATATAGAGGAAACTTTCTGTTACAATATTTTTCTGTTACATTCCTTACAAACAAAGTTTATAAAAATGTTTCATTTTCTGTATATTTCAGGTAGTTACAACTTTAATTATCTTCCACCCACAATGCTGTGTTCAAGATGATGGATATACAGTCCCCGTCATGTTTTAGACCTACACCAACTTTACCTCTCAACACATCAGCTGGATCATTGTCCCTGAGTTCTCCTGTAGCAGATAGGTCCAATTCTAAGTATTCATTTTCGAGAAGTAACAGCTTCACAGGCAATATGGTTGTCGAATCACAGTCTCTCAACTTTAGGCCGATGACACCAGATCCTCATCCAGACACTGTTAATAAATCTGACTCTAATAAACTGGATCTGGAAAAATCTGGACAACAGAATTTATCCATGCCTCCTGAAGGAGCAGTGACACCCACTGAAGAGCATGTTGCGAAAAAGCCAAGGCTGATGACGTCCAGTGAAGACCTTTCGACTAAAACAGATATTGAGTACATTTTTGACAATAATTATCACAATGATAAAAAAGATCATAATACTATTGAAATGAATGGAGTGCACTATCCAGAAGATAAAGTGCAAGACTTTTCAACTGAGTCAATTGAAGGAATGCCACATGGAGAAAAGCGAAGAAGATTGTCTGAATCTATTGCTCTTAAAAATACTGATTCACTGTTAGAAGCAGCATTTAAAGCAGGTCTTGATAAAAGTCCGCCAACACTGAGTCCTAAAACTATATCTGACACAGATTTCGATGCAGTCAGTACCGGAAGTCCGAGCATGAGCATCAGTGGGGAGAGACGAAGGCGCAAACCCAATCTGGAAGATATTGTTCGAAGGATGAGAGAAGTTGAAACTGATTACAGTGAGGACAGTGAGATTGATGAAATGAATGATGATATGCAAGAAGGCCAAGATGAAGTAGATGGTGATCTGTCAGTGAGAATGCCTGTATTAGCTAATCAGATTGATGAATTAAAAGGCGGCAAGAATTTTGAGAATGGTGACATAATTAATAGCTATGATCAGAGAGTGTTAATCAAACGTGAACTTAATGAAAACAATAACATTATTGAGAAAATGCGTCAAGATGAAGTGGACAAAGAGAACAAAGGTGGTGATGATGATGGTGAAAATCAAGGTGTACCACTTCCAGCTTCAAAACTCGAGACTCCGGCACAAAATGGCGAGTCTGTAATTAAACAGACTGGTCATGTGACTCCACCCCACAGTACATCAAACAACTGGCTACATGGCAGCAGTCCATTCAATGGATTTCCAATGTTCCCTTTTCAAACCAATCCAGCAGAGCTTCCATTCTCTAAATTCATGAATCCATTTGAAAACAAGTTTAACTCACCAGAGTTGGAAAAAGATTACCTAAAATGCCAATATTGTGAGAGGACATTTCGACGACAAAAGAACCTTGAAAACCATATAGAGAATACACATCATGGGAAAAGCCCACAGCGGAAGAAATCTGGTGAGACTACAGGAGACATGTATTTCAAATGTACACATTGTCCATATACAACAAAACACCAGAGCAACTTGTATGTTCATCTTCGTATCCATACAGGTATGGAAGCTTTAAACCTTATAATTAAAAAGGAAAATGTTTCATTTTCAAAAAATTGCAATAAGTAATTAAAGAAAGTTTTCAATGACACATAATTCTAGTACCAAACCTAGATGAAAAAGTGAGAATTCTGTTTCCACCTATAGTTTTGATAATGGAAGGGAGACAACAGCTGATGGCTAAAAGTCATTGTTTTATATTAGTGTTGTCTCCCCTGTCAATGTAATTTTTACTGTACTGATAACTTTCAATTAATTGTATTTAATTTTAAGTATTCTGTTTTATTTAAGCTTCACTATAAAGGGTTAATATTGAGTAAAATGCTTATCAAAACTGAGAACTAATGATTGCAATATACATGTTGTTTCTAATCATTATTTTGAACTACTGTTTATTATTACTACATTTAGTTTCTTGTTTTATTTTAATGTTAGGCTGGTTGTATTTCTTTTTTCAGGTGAAAGGCCGTATATTTGTGGTGCATGTGGTGTACAGTACAGTCAGAGTCACAGTCTTAAGTCACATATCATCAACAAGCACGACAGTATCATGTCATACTACATCAAAGAAAAACGTACACGCTCACCAAGAGGTCTCGGTTACCTAGCAACACAGCCAATACCTGGAGAATCTCCAGTGTTCAAGATGCCGGCTTCTCCAATGATTCCAAATCCGTTTCCGGGCAACTTAAACGGCCTTCATCTTCCGCAGACATCTCCAAGTCAACAGCTCAAGCATTCACCACCATCTCATATGCAGAATAATCAATCTTCTGTGCCACATTCACCCGTTCTTTCACCAAATTACCCACAATCCCAACCACAGGTTTCACCTGGAAACCAGCAGCAGCAGATGTCGCCCCAGCAACCCCTTCACCGACCACCATTCCCACCATTTCATCACATGATTCCAGATGGCATGGAGATGGCACAGAAGTCACTAGAGTTTGCAAAACTCGGTTTAATGAACTTTCCGTTTTATGGCAAACCATTCCATAGTAAGCCAAGTCCACCATTCCACATGAATGGACATGGCCAGATCTCCCCACAGTTTAGCAATGGGCAAATTCTTCAACAATCAAGGCAGCAACCTACGGAACAATCCATGCAGCAAAATGGGGTTAGTGCACAACAGCAATATCATAAAACCCACAATCCATTGCAAGAAATCCATGATAACAGACATCAAGATGATACTGGTGCTATAGATTTGAGAAAGAAATGCAATGATGAGGCACTCGATTTAGCTGTACCTGACAAAAACATGAAATGTACAGAGGACGGAGCAAAATGCCCGAATTGTCTTCATTTGCTGAAGCTGAAGATGCTGCGAATGAATGTTGTACGAATGCTGAGCATTTTGGTCCCGAATCTAAACTTTGAAGAGAAGGGAATCAACGCAGAGGGCGATTCAGTGGATGATCTCCTACGTGACGTCATCGAGAGCAATATTCATGATGAGGAATCAAATGATTAAACTATCAATAGAAATCATGTAAGAAATAATGTACAGATTAATGTCGGACATTCTTTTCTTTTATCACAATTTTTTTGTGTTGCAGACAATGTTGTGGATACTTGTCCAGGTGTTTGTATTGAGATGCAAAACTGGACAAATAGAAGAAAAAAGTATTTATCTTTTCATGTGACATTAATCATGGCATGGGGAGCGTGTTATTTTGTGCAGCAATTTGTGGCAGCAATCATTCTAGTTTTCAAACAAATTTGTAGTATTAACGTCACTTTTTTTTCACACGAAAAAAAAAAAGACAAAAAAAATCCATAGTTAAAAAAAACAATTGTTGGAGAGTTCTATATATAGTGAACTTATGGTGCAATAACTCATGTCTCATAATTAGGAGTTAGTTCCCCTTGTTAAACATTGACATATCAAAAGAAGAAGAGGCAAGGCGGTTATGATATAATGTTTGCAGAAATTCCCGTCTAGTGTTAGGTGGCTTCATCTCATTTGCATATGACATTTTTAATTTGCATATTTCATTTTGTGCTACGCAGCTTTCAGAAGCTGAAATTTCACGGAGCTGTGTATCGTATACTAATTTTGGAAATTCCTGCCGCATTCATTTGCATGTCATTTTGTTCAAAAGTCCATTTAATCATTTATTTTTTAAAGAGATCACTATTTATTGAGTGAAAATCCTGCCATGGTACTTTGTATTTAAAGTGGAATGATACTATCATTCGAAAACAGGCCATAATTGACAATTGGACTTGTTGTTTTCTGAAAGGATTTTTTTCCTAGTCAATAGACGAAAAGTATTCCCAAAGATTTTATTCATTATATGAAGTGAACAGAACAATCCAATTTTATGTCAAGGTTGTTTTACATGAACTATTTTTGTGTAATGTAAACATATTTTTTGATGTCACAGTTAAACTGTGGGCATCATGTTTTGTTAATTTCATGACTATTGGGTCACAGACCTTCATTTTTCACATTCGAGTTCTGGTGGAGTTTAGAGCAAACTACAGATGTACAGAAGTGTCTTATCCTTTACCCTATGGGCAGCATGCAACATTACAATATACGCTTCTTACCCTTAGTGCTGACATGGAACATTCCATATTGACTCGGACATTCCATTGTTTCTAAAAAGGGGTTATGTTATATACATTCCAAAAAGTGGATCTGTCCATGACGTATAGTGCTAAGAAACTTTTTTTCACCTTGAATTCCTGATGTTGCAGCAGAAGTGTGACCAGTTTATGGAAACAGACTATAATTATATGGAAATATTAGCAGACGTGTCACCAAATTTTTGAGTACTGACTATAGTAATGTCAGCAGACATATGACCAAACTTTTGGAAACGGCTATAGGAGAATCTGCAGACGACAGTGATAATTTCTTTCCTGCTTTCCAATGACTTATATACTGAAAGTCACATGATTTTTATGCAAGGTGCCTTTTGAAAACCCGGCAGCCAGTTTGGAGAATTGTTACTATTTTTAGTGCTACCATTTTTTCTGCAAATCTGTAATTTGATCTGAAATTGACACTGAAAGGTCAACTGGTGCTTAAATGCAATACAGTTGGTGGTTGGCGAAAAACCAAAGACACTTTAATTAAGACTAAGTAGTGTTTAAAGAGTATATATATATATATACACACAATGTAAATGTTTCTCTGTGAATTGTGCGCTCATTTGTTTTGTTGTAAATTTCATATTTTTAGAACACTATCCTTGTAGCTGTGCGTGTCTTTTCATTATAACTGTTGAACAATTTGTATATGTTTCAGCAAATTGATTGATAAAGAACTATGACTTTGTACATACACTAATAATATTCTACTTCCATTGTAAGTTTTTAACATTAGCCAAAAGACAAAACTGCATTTACGATAATGCCATCAAAGATATATTTGACCTAGCTGTACAAGAGAAATATATCAAGGATTCTGTGCAACGCTCTTTATCCAACAAATAGAAACAGTGCAGTATTGATTCCTTGATATGTAAATACTTTTTGTACTGCAAGGTTAGATCCCCACCTATTTACTACATTTTACATATTTTACTTTTTAAGAATTAAGATTATCTGTATTCTTTGGGAAAAAAGTTGTTTTGGGAGGGTGGGGGCATCATTATCATTCCAAGTAAATTCAATTTATCTTGTAAGAATTTGAATTTTTTTTTATAATTTAAAGTAATTAAAAAAGTATAATGTGTTAAAAAGTGGACATTTATGAATTTGTTTGCAAAATTTAGTACATCTAGAGTATTGAAAATATTTTTGGTAAGTTAAAGACATATTTTTTAATGCCATCAAAACTTTCACGAGAGAAGTTTTATTCTCAGATTTATTTTCTTAGGGATACATAAAATACTGAAAATGAAATTTACATTGATAAGTTTAAAGACTATGTAGGGCATTTTACCGGAAGCATTTTTGTATTTTGTCACTCACATTGTTTGCACAAGATGCAGTGTTTTCATTTTTTACCTATGATTATTATATTTGACCTATTGAGTAGACCATTGTTCAAGAACAATCAATATTTTACAGTGTTTTCCTTCAGCTTCTAAAAGTTCTAAGTTGTATAGCAAGATTTTTTTCATATTTTTGTAAATTTCATTTCTTCTTATTTTTACTTATAGCTTAAAGTACAAAGTTATAGCATGTATTCTAACATAAGTTTAGCACAAGTACAAATTACATAAATTAATATTTTGCTCAATGGTTCAATAGGTCTTATATAAAAACAACAGGTTGCATAATGATTTTAATCAAAATGATATAACTTTTACTGCTGACAACTTAGATTAGTTTTTAATTAGTTAAAATTTCAACATGTCATACTCGATTCCTGTAAGCAGCTCTTTCATTGGTCAATTTTAAATATGAGATGCCTAGAAAACATCCAATCAGATTATGTGTTTTAACAGTATCTAAAAATAGTAACATTGGTGTTTTTTTCAGTAGTTAATTTGTATCAGTCGTAAATTATATGAAATAAGTTACTTGTATTTGGTGCTTTTTTGCAAAATCATTTCGTAGTTAAAAAATATAACAAGGCCTACATATCAATAAGGTCACACCAAATTGAAACCTTTAAAAGTTAGCATACTTTTGCAGGAATATTGATGCAAGAAAAATTAAAGATTGACATTGAAATATGTTAACCTATGTACAAAACCTTTATATTGGCTAAGATGATTTTATAAAAAAAATTACTGTTTCAGAAAATAAAAACTTATTTCTATCAACCTAACATTGTTAGAGTAGCACATTAGTAAAGTATGATACATCATATTTGTAAATGTTTTGATTAATATAATATTTTTACAATTTATCAATTAAAATATTTAAAAACAAAAAAATCAAATCATTTTTGGCATTACCAAGGCTTCCAATTGTTAGTGTGAGGCTCATTTTTTGCCCATTCAAGTCTTAAGAGAGAAAAGTATTGGCACAGAATAATATTACTATAGTTTGGTGTGGCCTTGAAATGAAATGATAAGCAAACCATATGTCCAGAGAATTTGTGCCTATAGAATTTAGAGGGCAGCATATTTTAATGTTTTTTCAAATCGTCATCATCATCTTGATTTTGAATTATGCTTGTTGTATGATGGTCCTAGTCTATGATTTTGTCACAACAATGGAAGACTTTTGTACTTGCTCCATTATTTATATGAGTCGTATATAGTGATTTTGGGCCTTTAGGAAAAAAATGTAGTTATTCCCAATTTAAGCAACATCAGTTGTTGTTTTTTTCTGCAGGAGTAAATCATCAGCTGATTTAACAGGATTTTATCAAAATGATAGCAAAATTATTAGAAACAAAGGAAACAATGCAAATTTTACACACACAAAATATCTGTGATACTACAAATAAGAAATGTTATTTATGAATAACTTACTATTTTATTGTTTAATGATGCCATTTTGTCGTTTTTAACATCTAATTCCTCAGGTACCATTATCACTTGATGCGGCTCATATTATGTATTTACAATCGTCTCATATTAATGAATTTTCACACTTTTTAACATTTTATGTAAACTTTGTTATCTGTGTGTTTCTGTATTGAAAGTCCAGTCAAATATTCTGTAAAATTATGCTAAAATGATAGATTAAAAGTCAATGAATATACCCAAAGAAAAGTGCACACTAAAAATTTTTTAGTGAAGTTATCAGTATTTAACTTTGTATTGTGCTAATGATTTGTTTAATTTTCATTGCACTGATGATTATTTCTTTCAAATAATTTGCAATGTTAATAATTATCAACTTTGTATAGACAATGGCTTATGTCTGCTGAACTGTATGTTTTATTTTTTGATAAAATACAAGGGAGATAAAAAGGAACTAATAGACACTGTTACTCCCCTTAAATTCATACACTATTATCATTATATCTGGAACTGGTGTGACCCAGATTAGATATAAGAAAAACATTCCTGAAATTTTGTTCATTTTCTTTTTGTTATTATTTACTTCCATATCATAATTATTTGTTTTAAATTCAATATAAAGTGATTTGATTGGGACCACTGAAAGAAATCCAAACATTTTGTCTTTGGAAACAAAAATCATTATTATTTCTTACTGTTTTTAGCTCGACTTTTCTATGAAAAGGGGAGCTATCCTACTCGCCCCGGCGTCGGCGTCGGCGTCACACCTTGGTTAAGTTTTTCGTACCACCCCACTTTATTTCAGAAGTATTACAAGTATGGCTTTGAAACTTACCATACTTGTTCACCATCATAACCTCCATCTACAGACAAGAGTACATAACTCTGTCAAGGTTTTTGACAGAATTATGGCCCTTTTTTGACTTAGAAAGTGTATTGAGCTTGGTTAAGTTTTTTGTACCACCTCACTTTATTTCAAAACCATTGGAGGTATTGCTTTGAAACTGACCATACTTGTTTACCATCACGACCTTCATCAACAGACAAGAGGACATAACTCTGTCAAGGTTTTTGACAGAATTATGCCCCTTTTTGACTTAGAAAATACATTGAATATGGGTAAAATCCACTTATTGCCTTAACCCTTTGAGATATTGCTTTGAAACTTTTAATGCTATTTCACATCATTACCCCCATCTGTACGCAAGAGAAGGTAACTCTGTCAAGGATTTGTTTTAAAAATTAAGGCCTTTTATCGACTTAGAATCTTGGTTAAGTTTTTAGTACCAGTCCACTTTTTGACTGAACTTTTTGAGATATTAATTTGAAAGTTGGAATACTTGTTTACAATCATGATTCCCAAACATGTCCAGGAGAAGGTAATTCTGTCAAAGATTTTATTTGAATTATGGCCCTTAACTGTCAATGTTTTGTATTATAGGCAAGCACTAAAAAACTTAAAAAATCTAAAAAAATTCATTCCTATCCACTTGTTCACTTTACCATAAATTATGTCATATAAACATTGCTGTAATATTCAAGGGTATCAAACAACTAGTTCACTTTAAAAATACAGAGATTCTTGTATTGCCTTTTACTGCAAAAACTTTTTTTATTGGCAAGCAATAAAAAAGTCGAGCGCGCTGTCTTACTTGTTTTTTTACTTGTTTGTTTTTAAAGCTCTTTTTTACATTAAAACAATATTTTGAAAACTTCAAGATAAAATCATTACATCACATAATATACAAAACTAAGTAAAATATTTATTTGGTTTAATGCCAAAAATCAACAACAGTTATCAAATTTGTTTAGTTTTGATTTGTTTTTTATTTATACTTGTGTAAAAGCCAAAAGAAAACAAACAATAAATGGCTGTGGTGTTTAAACATTTTCATTCCATTGATTGTAATGTAGTTGGATATTTATATTAAACAGTCTTTCTTCCTGAGGGTGTCATTTAAACCAACAAAAAACTATTTTAATATTTTACCTTATGTTGCATCTGTAATTTCCTTAAAGATAAGTATGCAAAACATAAAACAAAGATCAAAATGACAAAACATAAGCTATTTTGTTTGACATGACTACTTTTAGCCATATAATGTCTTCTAAGTCATTTGTCATATACTGTTATAGCAGAGAGTTAATAAGTTCAAAAATTTGCCAGATTATAACTTTACAAATAATAGATCTTATTGCAAACTTTTGTGTAAAATTTTCATTAGTTTAAGGTGATATGTCTAATAGAAATGGAAACAAATGTTACATTACAATCAAAAATAAATAAATAAATGAAACATTAACTTTTGATGTCTTTTTATACCAGGAAAAAAAATGTTTACTTTTACTGCATAATGTAATAGATAGCCATTAAAATCATTGATAATAAAATCTGTTCAGATCTCAGCTTGTATTTGGAGGAACCACTGTCTCGGTTAAATAAATGTTTTAAAGAATGTATGATGTTTTATGATAATGTTTACCAGATTAGTTCTGCAGAATATGTTTTGTTGTTCTTTTTGTAAATAGAAAAACATTATGTCACTTTACATGATATATCAATTTATGTTATTTTACATGATATATCAATTTATGTCAATTAACATGTATGTCTTATTTCATTTAACATGATATGCATTTTTATGCTGTTTATAATGGCTGTTTGACGTCATTTTAAATGACAAATAAAATTAACTGACACACAGAGTGCTACAAAATATTTTATGTTAATTGCAGAGATTTGAAGAAAAAAATCTCTGTTACTTATAAGCTTTATTTTTTAATTATTTTTATTCTACTTTTTTCATATCGGAAAATATATGAAGACATCTCCTAGGTTTTGATCTCAGTTACAAAACAACTAACACTATTTACTTTGCACCTTTTATAAATCATTATTTAAAAAAAACTGCTTAATTTATTTAATAGTTATATTTTTTCACATTATTTAATACATTTATAAGTTCTCATTTCATTTTTTTCAATTTTAAGTCAAATATTTGAAGTGTATCACAAATTTTGAGAATTAATCAAAACAATCAATTTTGTTTAAGAAAAGCTTTTATTTCTTATTTAAGACCCACCTAATTAATTTGCTTTAATTTATATAATTTTTTAAGACTGCAGGATACCTTTAATGTACATGTATTTATTGAGTAAAAAAGTTAATGAACTGAAGAAAATATTTTTGTTTATGTTACAGAACAATTTATGAAATGTTTATGAAAGGGTTTTGTTGAGAAAATCAACAAAAGTTTTATTCTGGTAAATTTGTATCCTTTGCTTTAACAATAAATATTATAAACTAGACTCTATAATATTGTTCATTGGTTGTAAATGTAAAACTCTAAATGCAGCTATCTAATTTCTTTGAAAAAAGTAGTAAAGAAGTACAAAAAGGTGTTCTGCAACCTTAAATTATTAAGATTTACATGTACATAAACAAGCATTTTTATATAAATTATATTCCATTTTTTTGCTGTATAATTTTGTCAAAAACTATTGTTTGTTGTTTCTATAATTTATAATATACATTTTAGCATATTTTTGGTATTATATATTGAATATATGCATATAATATAATTGTATGTTAAGCTATAAGTATTGTAAATCTAATTTTTATTAGATGTTTTTTCATAGTTCTGAATTTCTGTCTCTTTGAATATTTAAATGACAATTTTTTAATTATTCCACATGAATTTGTGTGCATAGATTAACCAACTGTATGTTAAAAGAAATGTACCATTTCCTCTCTTGTCATTTTTATGGAGATACTACTATAGAAAAATAGGGGAATACACATTTATACAGGACTAAGTAATGGTAATTTAATGTTATGACCCTGTAATGACAAGTATGAGACTGTTATAGTAGGTACTTGCTTGCTTTATCAATATCTTGGTTTACAATTACATCTTAGCTTGCAATTACAGTTTGGTTAAGTATTTCATAGAGCAACTGCTCATCTATTAGCCAATGTCCAAATAAACGAAAGCAAGTAAACATTGTAAGACTAACAGTAGAAACATTAAGGTTTAGTTATGTTATCTGAAATAAACTGTGGCCTAACAGAATTACATCTTCAAAGACTGCTGGTCTTTACAAGTGATTATTTACATATTTATGCAACTATGGATTAATGCAAGTATTATTTTGTAATATTGTTTATTTTTTAGGTGAAAAGATCAAGAAATACAAATACTTTCATTGTCTTTTCATAGTTTAGTAAGTCTAATAATAACTAGATAAATTCTGAAAGATTAAGAAAGTTGTAAAGTACTTACCGTACATAATAAATATTTTGATAATGTTAAAGTACAGTTAAAAAATATGTAGTTAAACTTGTTTGTAAATAAAGAGTAATTTTTGCCTTGATTTCAAAACACTCAGATGTAATAGTAATACATAGAAACAGCAGTATTGATCACTATGTAACCTAATTTTGTATTTTCTAATTCTAGTGACTAATAGATAATAAAAAAATGTTGGAAACTCAAAGCCAATAGAATCTATGGTGTGAAATTTAAACCAATTAATGTGGCAATAATGTTGTGTTATATTAAGAGAAATTCATGTAAAGAAACCACCGAAAAACTGAAAGAAATTCAAGTAAAAAATTATCCTTTATTTTATGTTATCTCATATTATTGCTTTAGTGAAAATGTAATATTGTAAACACATTTGTCTATATAAAGGTTGTGACGATGGTTAGATGTGGTTGCCATGAAAATGGTGATAAACTATTACCAAATTAGGGTCCTAGTCTTTCTATGTGTTCTTCAAAAAATGATTCTTTAATGTTTAAACATTAAATCATATGTTTCTAGAATCAAATACCTTAAGTTTATTAGAATATAATAGCTAAAGTCAAGCATTATGCTAACAAATCATTTGATTGGTTGATAATAATAGAAAATTTCCAAAATGCTTTTGATTGGCTCAAACAAATTGGTGGTGTTGTTCTAACTTATCTTTTGATTGGCTAAACAGATTGTAATTATTCTAAGATGATTTTGATTGGTATTTTCTTATAACATGTGGAAATTTCAGGTTGAATTTAAGTAAAGTATGTTCATCTTTAAACTGCATTGTAGTAGATATACTTTATACGTTCTACAGATATTAAAGTCTAGAAATCAGATATATATATATATAAATTAAATGATATATGAAATAAAGATTAATGTTGTAGGTTAAATGGAATGAGAAAATGTTGAAATAGTACATATTTGTTTGTTGATGTGAGGATCATGTTATGAAAGTGTTGATATACCAAAAAAACTTACTTCCTTGTAAAACCTTTCACTGCCATCTTCCAATATATATAAGTGCCATGTTTTATTTTCTTATAGAAAAAAATCGTTTTATTTTTTTTATTTTGAGTTTTTTTTTGTGTATAGACTGTGTTCAAAAATTGGTTGCATTTCTTGTTTTTTTTCCTATTCTGTCGTGTATTATTTTGTGTGTGTTCAAACAGCCATTTTTGTGTTCTTAATAATATTTTTTGTACAACTTGTACACATTTATTTTTCTATATGTGTTCATGATTAATTTTGAAGGTGTTCCTTTTTTAAAGACTTCTACATATCAGTTGTTCTTATTTATATGATTGTGTTCCATTTTGGCAGTTCTATAACATAAAAATCCCTATTTATTTGTTGTGAGTAAATTTCCAACATCCATGTCATTCTTCCTTCTTTAAATGGAAACCTCAAAGAATGTTCAACACTGCAAAACTAAAACTATTGATTTAGTATGTCAGTGGACCATAGAGGAAAATACAAATAACCAACCATGCCCTTATTATTATATGTAAATATATTTTTTATTTGAAATTTACAAATTCATTAAAAATATTTAAAGCAAAGTATGAAATGAAAATCATGATAATCAGCATGAAAAATTATTCTCAATTTATCATATGAAAGTCCCGCTTTATTTTACATGCTTTAAGTCTCCTTCTGTTATAATAGAACAAAAACCACTTTTTGTCCGGTGTTTTTTGTTTTTTGTGTGTTTTTTTTTGTTATAATTGTTTTTGCTTTTTTAGTAGTTATTTTTGTTTGTTATGTATATTTTGCATTTGTTTCATTCTTTTATACTATGTGCTGTACTATTTAGATCTAACTTTATGTGTTCAATTTAACTTGTTATTAAGTATTTCAACCATTTGGTTCCATATGAAATGGACTTTCCCTTTTGGGAAGTGAAGAAAACCTAAACTTGTAGTATTTTTGATCAGTTTTTAACTTTTTATACATACTTAGTTCTAAGGTTTTTTTCTGTGTGTTTTTTTTTCTTTTTACATATTAAGAAAGACTATATTTTGGGTGCTTATAATGTACATGTGTTTTGTGTAGTAAGACTGCGCGAGATGATGAACATGCGTGCTAGTTTTAAAAGCAGTCAGTTTTCTGTAGAATGTAGTTAAATGGTGAAATAAAAGCAATACTTAGAATCTGAGATTTTGTTGAGTATTTTGTTGTGTAGTTGTCAGGCAATTTATGTCCTCCCTCCTCATCATATTCAGTATTTTTCTTGAAAATCTATGAAAACGGATACATTGGCCTAGCTCAGACAGTCTAACTTAAAAACTTATGTAAAGGCCTTGCTCAGATAGTGTAACCTGAAAACATATACATGTGTCTAGCTCAGACAGTCTAACTTAAAAACTTATGTTTGCTCAGATAGTGTAAACTGAAAACATATGCCTTACCTCAGACAAAGTTACCTGAAAACTTATGTAAAGGCCTTACTTCAGAAAATATTACCTGAAAACGTATGTAAAGGCCTTGCCTCAGACAGTATTACCTGAAAACTTATGTAAAGGCCTTGCCTCAGACACTGTTACCTGAAAACTTACGTAAAGGCCTGCCTCAGACAGTGTTGCCTAAAAACTTATGTAAAGGCCTTGCCTCAGTGTTACCTGAAAACTTGTGTAAAGGCCTTTCCTCAGACAGTATTACCTGAAAACTTGTGTAAAGGCCTTGCCTCCGACAATGTTACCTGAAAACTTACGTAAAGTTCTTGCCTCAGACAGTGTAAACTAAATACGTTTGTAAAGGCCTTGCCTTGGACAGTGTTACCTGAAAACGTATGTAAAGGCCTTGCCTCAGACAGTGTTACCTGAAAACGTACGTAAAGGCCTTGTCTCAAACAGTGTTACCTGAAAACTTATGTAAAGGCCTTACTTCAGAAAATATTACCTGAAAACGTATGTAAAGGCCTTGCCTCAGACAGTATTACCTGAAAATTTATGTAAAGGCCTTGCCTCAGACACTGTTACCTGAAAATTTATGTAAAGGCATTGCCTCGGACACTGTTACCTGAAAACTAACGTAAAGGCCTGCCTCAGATAGTGTTGCCTAAAACTTATGTAAAGGCCTTGCCTCAGTGTTACCTGAAAACTTGTGTAAAGGCCTTTCCTCAGACAGTATTACCTGAACACTTATGTAAAGACCTTGCCTCCGACAGTGTTAACTAAATACGTATGTAAAGGCCTTGCCTCGGACAGTGTTACCTGAAATCGTATGTAAAGGCCTTGCCTCAGACAGTGTTACCTGAAAACGTACGTAAAGGCCTTGCCTCAGACAGTGTTACCTGAAAACTTATATAAAGGCATTACCTCAGACAGAGGAACCTACAAACGTATGTAAAGGCCTTGCCTCAGACAGTGTCCTTGAAAATTTATATAAAGGCCTTGCTCAGACAGTGTTACCTTAAAACGTATGCAAAGGCCTTGCTTAGGCAGTGTAACCTTAAAACGTATGTAAAGACCTAACCTTAGACAGTGTAACCTTAAAACGTATGTAAAGGCCTTACCTCAGACAGTGTTACCTGAAAACTTATGTAAAGGCCTTTCCCAGGCAGAGTTACACGAAAACGTATGTACAGGCCTTACCTCAGACAGTGTTACCTGAAAACTTATATAAAGGCCTTGCTCAAACAGTGTTACCTGAAAACTTATATAAAGGCCTTACCTCAGACAGTGTTACCTGAAAACTTGTGTAAAGGCCTTACCTTAGACCGTTTTACCTGAAAACTTATTTTTGGTCATCTCAGCGGCAGGTCGATTGACTTGGTAACTAACCAGTAATTACCAATTTCCTCGCAAGTGACCGACTACTAATCCCACATGATTTCTAAATCAGCGGTTGTCCAATTTATTTGTCAAGAAGAAATTTTGCCTCACAAGAAGATCGAAACAGTGACCTATGAATCACAGATCTGATAAGCTACGCGATCGAACAAGGTAAAGGTATTTGTGTCTTAAGTAGATGGCGCATGACCGAAAGAAGATTCTGCAGAAAAGAAACGCGTAAAAAGGCAAAGGTCTGTACCTGTTAAGCATGCAAACGCTTTGCTTAGCTAATATAACTGGAAATCTATAAAATAAAAAAAACCTTGCGTGAAAACATAGGTTAAGGTTTTGCTTAGCCAGCATAATGTTCAAATCTTATGTTATGGCCTTGCTCAGTCAGAATAATGCGAAAACAAATGCGCAGTCAGATTTACTCGTAAACGTAGTAAAGGCTTTGGTTGAAACCCTACAAAAGACCTTGCTCAGCGGAAACTATGTAAAGGCGTTGCTCTAAACAATGTTATTGTGAAATTACCTAGCCAAGACAGTATAACATCAAAACATATGTTAAGGGCCTTCCTCAGTAAGTTAAGGTAGGCTTTCGTCCTATTTAAAGGTTGTTTTACTGATTCCTGTCTTTATTTTGTCTTAGCAGAACTGAATCTGAAATATACAATATATATCACCAATGCAAAGTCCGCCAACCTTCACAACAATGCATATTGTCAAACGAGATCCTCATGTACAATGTTAACCTTGAATTTACTGACATTTGCTAAGACAAGATCCGAATCCAAGATATCTTTATTACAAAAACACAGTGGGAAATAAAAAGATTGGTCTATTTAGTACAACAAAAAATCACCAAAAAACTTTTACGAGACATTTCTCTTCAATGAATCTATGTAAATCCATTCCATTGCTCTGTATGGTGATAACAATTTACAGTGAATAGTTCCCGCCATTTTCCCACCTTTGTCGTCTGCTGCAACAATAAATGCGTATGAAGTGACATCCAGAGCCCCATTTGCACCATATTTCAGGTCTAAAGAGTCTAATGTCCAATTTAACACATTACCGGAGATGCCATCATCATGGAACGTTATTTCCGGTGAATTTCTTTCCACGGAACGGTTGTGGGCAAGAGATGAAGATGCATTTAGAGCAACGTGATATAGGAACTGAAAAGAGAAAAAATGTGTTTCCTATTAATAAAAGGGAACGAAACAAAAGATGCACCATTGTGACTATCGTTAAAGTATGCATACCACAGGATTCCGTCAGCTTCATACATTTCACAGTCCAGGAACCAGATGAGGCCGCATAGTGCGGCATCAAATTTTCAATAATTAACAATCTTTTCTTGAATTAAAGTCTACCGCCCTGATGAGTAAATAAACACTTTGCCACAATCTGTTTGTGTCAAAATACTTCACACCGAGCAAAATATTAAAATATAGAATACAAGTTATATAAATATTAAATATGCATGAACCCTTTCAGTTTGGTGATCTGTAGAGTTTCCAAGAAGTTACTCATTGAAGTTTTCCTGAACCATCTTTTTACTTTAATCACAAATAGTTTCACATTTAACGTTGCAGTCTTCATTTCTTCATATGATAAGCATCTAACATGCTCTTAACTTTATAAAACTCATGTTTAGGAAGAAAAATATATATTGTTTCTGAGGCAAAATAGATTTAAATCTGAATACAAATACCTTGTTTAAATCCCGACATGTCAGATTTCGGCTGTCGTGTGGGACACCCGGAAGCAATTCTATCATTCCCTCTTTACTCTTCATCACAGACTGGATTTCCGATGGCGTCTGCGGATTTAACGAAACATCTTCCGGGTCAAAGGGTACAACGACATTCGAATAAGTCTGCACATGCGCAAACGATTTATTTTTTAATTGTACATCTGGCTCATAAAAATCGATCTCTTGTAAAGAGATTTCCTTGTCACCAACCTGTCAATGAAGTAACAACAGAAACAACAGCTGCAGTATTAATATATTTATATTATCACCTCGTTACATACATTTTGTTATGATCCATGATCATACATTACTTCCACGTGCCTTGCAAAAAGGTTGCATACGATTCTCTATACGTTACGTCAGATATGAATGAGTCCTAAAAATGGCCATCTGTATTATTGTCATGTTGAAACTTTCTCAGCTCGAGTCTTTGAGCTCGATTATAATAATTTATGCACTTTCGGGTTTGCATTTTCCAGACATTGCTGCACCTGAGATCGTCCTCCACTAGCAAAGCTTGAAAGTCGCCAAATGACCTATACTGTGTTGATTCGATGTAAAAACCAACCAAAAAATGAATAAGATGAAATCTACAGTTTGAGAATTTTACAAACCTGTTTTTGACACAATTGAATACCTTATGAATTTCTCTTTCATGTCCATTCTACATGTAGTATAAAATGAAACTACGTTCGGTTTCATTAACAATAATAATTATATTGAGTCTGTTCATTAATGATAATGGAAAGTGTAATAAACCACCGATCCTCTTATAAAATAGAAATACAGTATAAAACGAAACCGTAATGCGTGAACACCTTCGTTTACTTACATCTACATGTGCCGCCAGTTTATCACCCAAAATATATTTCTGAGCAGTCACCGTAGAAAATGATGACTTTGCTTTGTTTGTGTCCAAAGCCTTGATCTTTGACAGAGGCTAAAACATAAATAAAATAAATGTGATGCTTGTAAAGAAATCTTTTATCAATTGAAAATTAAAAAAAAAACAGCAAAGAGGTAAAGCGGTCGTTAAGTCCAATGACTGAAAATCTGGTGTAGACGATTTGAATAACGTACGTGTTTCCAGTTTTTCTTACACGACTTGAAACGAAAAATGATAAGTACACCTTACACGCGAAGAAGCCTATTGTAACGTCTGCATGCAATATAGAAATTTGAAAACATTAAATGGCTAAAACTCTGTTGTACGGGCCAATCATATTGTTTTTGCTATGGTTCTAAAATATATAGATATCATGCAGTTGTATTCTAATATATACGTAAGCTATATTCTTCTATCTCCCCACATTTCACAACCATAATAACATTAATAAAGTTAAGCTTAACATACATTCTACAACTGTTGTTGTAGCTGAGACTGCTGCTGTTATGATGATGGTGATCTGATGATGGTGATGATGGTGATGGCGACGACGTTATTAATTATACCTTTATTATATTTTGTGTACTGGTATATGCCCCTTTCAAACCAGCAGTAGCTTTGGCGTAGTCTTCTTTTGGTAGACCAGTGTTAACAGTGATGAAATTGGACACATGGGAAGCTATCGTCGAATGAGCGATGTCGAATGTAATGTCCTTGTCAACGGGAAGGTCATGTTTTAGAACGTTTGGTGGCATATTTCCAGAAGCAAAATGACCATGGTTGATACCTCGCATTACAATTACCGGCGTTATCAGGTTTAAAGGTGTAGGGTTGTGTAATGTCTCATTTTCCAACTCTCTGAAACAAAGATCATGATGGCCGTTAATCGCTCGCAGTCAAAAATGTTGGTTAATTTTCACAAGCATTATTAATCAAGTTTTAAAATTTTTGATCTCTTTATTTGTTTATGCGGAAAAGACACTTATATAAAATGTTAAATCCTAAAGAGTGTTTACAAAGGTCCATTCACCATTTCACCGGTAAATGAAATCTATTTCTGTTGATCTGTTGACATCAGTTGACTGCAGTATTTATCTAAATAATGGTTTAGGAGTACAACAGACAAAATGTAACTACTAGTAACTAGCTCCACGAGAAGTCGTTCGTTTTTTCCCCACAATATGATATATTTATTTTGAAAACCTTGTAAAAGATAAAAGAAAAATGTTTTCTAGGCATAACGAAATAAGTATATGTCATAAATACGTCATAGACCAGTGCAAGCAGCGACACTCGAAATGTGCCCATTAATTTATTCATGTATTATTAGTTACAAAGACTATATGTGGTACAGTATAACAGATTGTTAGCTTATACTGCAACACTCTTTTATACACAACAATAAAACTTGTCTAAAAATATAATGCTTAAAAGAATGCAGCAGCTTTGAAAATAGTCAAAATACAATATAGAAAATATAAACATCACGGCTGTCTAATGAAAACACGACACTGCAAATCTGCAGTTTTATACAAAAGATGTAATATAAAGGAACAACTAAAATAGGATCAAAATAACAGTAAAATGAATAATGAAATAAGATTCTTACTCAAATGTGTCTACAATTCTAGTGATCCGTGTAAGCCCGTCGAGATCACCGGAGATGGTCAGTACTGGCAAGGGGTAGTCCCTCAATCTATGAGATCTTGTCAAGTACGAGGCAAACAACATCACACCCTTTAGTTGTGACCAATGGTTCAAACCATAGCTGCCAACAAATACACCTATAGTATAAAATTCTTAAGTAAGTACCAAAAAGAAAGCAGAAACACATCATAAATGCCTACAAAATTTGAACAAACTAATTTTTATGTTATAGTATTTTCGAAAATAATGAAGTCACTAATGTGATTTCTTCCAATAAATTTTAATTCAATTCTGTTGTCCAGTTGTACATAGACACGATTATGGCAGGGAATTTCTGTCAGTAAATATATGCTACTTCTTTCTATTATATGTTAGTTTATTTCATTTTTCTTTCTTAGATAACATGCTTATGCATATTTACTATTGAAGAGAATTGGTCTATAATGGAAGGTCTGCAATGAATAATTACATTGATAGTATTAAGTAGTAGACAGGAAGTTTTTAGCAAGTGTGAGATACATGATTTGATATAACATATATTTATATAGCAGATAATAAAGTGTCCTAGAACAAAATATTATTATGGTCTTTCTAAATCACTCAAAACTTTATCAACCTTTTTTTCAAACAGGAATTTAAAAGAAAAAAACAAAATAACACATTTCCTTGTACGATTTTCTCAATGGTACATTTTTTGCTACGCAAAGATTACATTCCACTTTATTATATGCATTTTAAAGTTGATAGGTCTACAATGGGAACATTTTTCCATTAGTATTACAAATACCGTTGATACTATATATGTAAGGATTTCTTAAGGAAGCCATATTCTTGGAGTGCTGTACAGAAATTAGAAACTTCGACCGGAGCGATAGCGACATAATTAATTTTCAGTAAATTACAATTCTGTCTCAATTACCCAAACACAGATATTGCACGATGCTACTGTATAATAATTCGTTTTAACTTTTAAGAGTTGATATTTGTAGCAGATAATGCTAGCTTCATGTATAGTGTTTGAATAATGATATGTACAGCTGCTAATACCTTTCATAAGACGTTTCATTTTAAATTTTATGATTTCCAAAAATATTTGTTGTTATTCTAACGTAAACGTCATTGATAGGTACAGGGCATCGGTAAACGGTGTTTAAAACAACACTACTAAGTCTGCATTAAGTTAGCTGCGATGTCCTATCTAAAGCCGAGGAGAGTAGCGTTACAAAGTAGGCAGGGACGGCGAGGATGGGTACTCGGTTGTGTGAGCCCTAGTGCGATGAGACAGCTTGAACGGCGGCGTCCTTTGCTGTCAACAAAAACCCTAATCAGGGCTATTTCACCTTGCGGTTATTGCCATTGGTGACTAAATATTTAGGTGATAATTACCCGTTATACAGTGACCTACTTTCGGCTCAAAGCTGTTTACTTTGTGGAAATTGCACGGAGATAAATTATCAACATTTTGTGCTTCAAAACTAACTCTTTAAGGGCATGACTGACGACATGTCCGCGATCTGTACTCGACAGTTAAAGCTGCTTTTTGTGCCTTAACGATGGGCAGATAGATTTTCATTAAACAAAGGCAACATGCAATATGAAAACTACAGTACATGAATATTTGTACATTGTAATATGTCTATTACTTAACTATAAGAACTACACGAGTCATGAACATAAATCACCGAACAGAAATCACACTAAATGTTATTCACTTAGCGCAAGAATTCCTTGAATTATAATCACTGTGCATTATGCTAACCCTAGAATTTACTCATATTGCTCTAGCATTAACCACGCCTTTTTAGCAATACTCAATTTAAATAACGCTAGTACATGTATTAGATATATATCATATAGCATAAATCACACCAAATTTACGCCACTTGATCAAGACTCATTTTGAATCATACTAGCCCTGGATTTACTCACCGAGCAATATTTACGCCTCTTGAGCAATATTCATTCTGAAATACGCTACCCCTTGCTAGATATTACTCATAAAGCACAATACACGCCTCTTGAGCAAGATTCACTTCTGAAATACTCACCCGTTGAACATTATTCACTTTTTGAACTACTCTTACAGAGCATTACTTACTTTTTGAACAACACTCACTTAACACTGCTCATGCCTTGAAAATCACTCGTCCCCTGACCATAATCTCATAATGAGAGTACTACTTAAACATTAATCATTACTCTGAACTCACTGTGTACTTCTTACGCCTAAACATTACTCACTTGGCACACGATTTTACTCATTGAACACTCTGTACTACTCAATCCCTGAACAATACTCTCAGAGCACTATTCACATTTGAATTACGCTAGCCTAGAGCACACATTCCACTCAAATCGTGCACAACTTACAGAGCACTAAAATTCTGACTTACCACCCAGACTATGTCCTGCCAAGAATATGTTCTTCCCTTGAAACCCCGCATCTTTGAACTTTGAAATTGATTCACTGACGCCCGTACCTAACTGTAAGGGATTTGGAGTGTTGAATGGAAAGTCACACAGCAAAGATATCCACATGCGGCCATTGAAAGCCTCCTGCAGTTTTATACCTGTTGAAAAAATTAACAAACAGCATGGTTCCATTACAATATATTTGTTTTAGTTTTGGTTTTATTTTCATTGTATCATTTAATTGTATATATCGTGCATGCGTTTGAATTGTTTTTTTCTTTTTGTAGTACGATTTTTCTTTTATCTCGTTTGTCCATTATATGCCCATTCTTTTTTTTCAATTCATAATATATGTAGAAAAATAACATCGTAACATTGATTTTTTTCTTTGGACATGAAACAATAAGTCCGCTTCTAAACCAGGGGATTGTAAAAATACAAAATTAATATTACATAATTGAATAGCAACAAGTAAATAGTCAAGTAAGTCTACAATTATAGTTCGCATGTTGACCTGGCTATATAATAACGACAGTTATTGCTCAGAGAGTCAATGTTCTAATTAATAAATAAATAAGTTCCGGTTTACGTAACTACTTATACTCATACCTAGCTGTTCGTACGCCTCACCGGCAATGTCAGCTCCCGGTGTTATAATGATACCAACGTCGAAAGTTCCATTTTTCGTTGGCTTTAATACTTTTGCTTCTAATGCGAACACAGAAACAGGCAAAATGAAAGCAAAAGTTAAAACAGGAATTGAAAACATCCCACACGTTCGTTAGTCTCAAACTAAAAGTGATAAACTAGGACAGTTTTACACTGTTTATAAAGATAACAGACAATATAATGCCATATACAACACGAGGTCAAATGTTTATCTTAAAGAATTTTCACCCATTGGTAGAAAATATTTTGTTAAAGATCCAATATGCTGCAGTAATTTTTATTTCCAAAAAATTGTTTTTTTTTTTTTGTATCTTGTTATGGTTTCCAAAACCATATTTGTTTGCTATGTATGATTATTAACTATCTTTTGCATCTTTAGTTTTGTAGACAATTGGTATAATTTTAAGTTCGTTCACTTTTTGTTAGTTTTACGACATATAACTGCATGTTCAGCGCTACTTTTTTCAGTTGTAAAACATGCACTTAATCAATTGTTTAAACATTATTAAACACATGCTTGAAAATATATGAATTTCTGAGGCATAATATGCCTTTAACTTTGACGACGCTCGTTTATCATGTGTTGCTGTATAAGTAAACTTTGAGAAGATTATTTGGTCTGCGTTTGTCTTTTAGTCGCTAAAAGTGAGTTATGTAGAAAAATAAGATTTAGTTAAAAATCATATCTTTTTAAAACTGACCCCCGCCCCCGATTAATTAAGTTATTTCAGATGCAACAGTTTATGAGGTTCAGCTTTTTTAGAAAATGAAATATTTTTTTAAAAATTATTTCCTTACGAGTACGTCTGTGTTACCGAGGATGCTTCTCGCCCAATGGCACAGGTCACCCATCATCTTAAAGTACACTATACATGTTAAACCTCAACCGAATTTTAATGAACTTATCACACTTATATAACATATTGGGTTAAAAGTTAAAACCAAAAAATATGTACAGAATGAAAACAAAATATTCAAATCTTCGTCAGCACGTGCATGCTCGTGTGTTTTAACATATTTTAAATTGTTACGAAAGATCTTATTTGTAAACAATATTGGATATGATTTGAAAAAAAAGAACAACAACAAAAAACCTTTTTGCGACAGGCGTATGTCCGTAAAAATACATAACAAATGTTGCAGTGGTGAGCACAGATCTATGTAATTAACCAATATTATAATATCGACATTAAATAGACACCTTTCCCAAAGACGTAATTTATTCTAAAACATATGGCGCCCTAGCATATTAATCTGGCATTTACTCATATTATATCATACAGGCCTTTCGTTGTTAAATGCGAAATAAGATGACATCAAATTAATATATAAGTATATTTGTCACCGCTGTAAGGACTGATGTTCAGTACATGTATATAATATTTATATCGCGTTTTGATCTTGGATATTTTACGAGGAACTAACGAACTTTTTAAACTGTCCTGTGCTTTGATAATCTACAGGTAAGTCACGTGATCTTTTATATTTTGAAAATTTATAACATTTTAAGTGATGTTGGCACACGCCTTGCAACACCTCTTGCATAGTTTGCTCTTTTTCAGACTAAATCATTTTGTGTCAAACAATTTGATTTGCCGAAGTTAAAATAAACGCAACAAAACAAATTTAAAAGAAAAAAACAACACAAAACAACAACTATCTAAGGGCAAGGGCAATAAATATTGATATAAACTTTAAGTTACTTTTATAAATTAAGAGGCGTTTCACTTAAAGCATACTTAATTAGATACTTCCTAGAAACAGATTATCTAGGCCGATTTTTTGATGTTTGGAGATCAATAACATGTTTAAAGGTGACATAACGCGGGTTTAAACAAACGCAATAATGTACATACAACAAACTCTACATGCACCATCTGTCAAAGGTCGCCTTTCACGATGTAAACTGTACTTATAGTGACATGGTAGCTCACTTGTTGGCAAGTACATTTTTTGGTGTTAAAATAAATGAGTCTTCAATTTTTCGGCTGCCACCGGCAAAGTGTTTACTGCTGTGCGCATGCGTAGACGTTTAAAGGATATTATTTATTAATCGCACCGGGATTATATTTACAATTAGGTAAATAAACCTTATATTGTCTGAGTTTTATTCAATAAATAATAATATTGTTTTACTGTCTACAAATATATTTCTAAATAATTCATTTCTTAATTTCAGCAATCATTTAATGTTTGAAATCATATTGAACCTATTTATTTTTTTCTTAATTATTTTTTATTTTATTTTACTTTTGTGACTTTTCGACATCGACACGTACCTCGTAATTACCAGATAGTTTGAATCCTGGATAACGCATTTCATAGCTAAAAGCAGAACAAAAAATAGAAATAAATAATAAAATTACACACGCAACTTACATACTGTATTTGTAAATAACTATATATGTGAAAGGTTTTTTTCTTACACATTATTAAAGTCAACAACGCTAACAACAAAAAATAATAATATCATCATCATCATCATCATCATCATCATCATCATCATCATCATTATCAACAACAACAATAACAACAAAGAATTGTGGATTCGACAAAAACAGGCTTTCATTTTTGATTAATATAACAGACTTTCATTTTTGATTAATTAAATTTTTGTCATTTGTTTTATAAACCTTAGTGCTTAATAAATAGAAATTGTATTTCAATTTTCACGTAGAAAACTTGATTCGATTTCTGAAAAAAAAAAATGGTAATGCTTTAATTTTAGGATTATTTTAATCTAGTACTCATTAGTGAATGCGTGTTTTTGTTGACGTTATTTTTGTACCCTACAGGTGTGTGGTCACTATGATTTATATATTAAGTATTAAATTGCTGTTTTTGTGTGTCTCTCTGTACAAAAAATTATTATTCAATGTATCATTTATTCATTCAAACATTTTTTTGAAATCCTGGTGTACATACAAGTACGCACAATACGTAACGATGCGGTAATGTCGAAATAACCAATTTCAAAGAACAACCGTCAAATATGCCGCGGGTCTCAGACACAGAACCGCACTATTTCACCGTCGGACTTGTTTGTAGTAGCCATCGTCATAGTCAGTAGAAGATGTCGTCATAGTTGTAGTTGTCGCCGTAGTCGTCGAATCGTAGTTACAGTAGTCGTACCTGACGTCGTCTTAGATGTATGTGAAAAAATGCAGTTGTAATAGTAGTCGTGGTCGTCGACGTCGTAATTTGTAATCGTAAAATATCGCAGTTATGGCCGTAGTCGTTCTAGGTGTGATCACAGTCGTAGCCATTGCTGTAGTTGTTGTCGTAGTAGTAGTAGTCGTCGTCGAAACCGTTATCTTTGTCGTCGTAGGCGTAACCGTTCATAAGATTCAGAAAATCCAAGTCATTGTCGTTATCAAAGAAGACGTGGCCGTAGTTGTAAAAATGTAGCTGCCGTAGTCATCAAAGTCATACTTGTTACCGTTCTCATAGTCTAGAATACTATCGGTGGAGGTCGTCGTCGTCATTGATAACGACTAGTACTCGTAAAAAGCGTAGATAGTCGTAGTCATGGTCGATGTCGTGACCGTAGTTGTCGATGAAGTCCTCAAAATTATAGTCATGGTTGTTATCGTGGACGAGGTCGTCGTCGTCGTCGTAGATAACGACTTGTAGACGCAAAAGTCCTAATAGTCGTAGTCAATCAAAAAATTTTTTGGAATCGTAGTCGCTGTCGTTGTTGTTGTTTAAGCCGTGCTCGTTGTTTCTGTTGTCATCGTAGCTGTTCTCGTAGTTATTTGTGACAGTAATAGTGGTATTCGAGGTCTAAATCGTCGTTATCTTCCTGATCGTAGCAGTAATAATACTTAATTATGGTCGTTGTCGCCGGTTAAGTAGTAAACGTCGTTGTCATAGACTTGATCGTTATCGTAGAAGATGTGTACTCTTAACCATTAAAGTTGTATGAGTCTTAGTCTCTTTCGAAGTCGCCCTGATCGAAGCCTAACTTGTAGTAGTAAAAGTCGTAGTCGTAGTCGTGGTCGTAGCCATAGTCTTAGTCGTAGCCTAGACAAAAAATTGATGACGGTCATCATCTTGATCATTTTATACAAATGAGCTACATACGTGGAATGCAGCATCTTGACGTATACAACTATCGGTAAGCTGTATTCGGTGTAAACTGTATTTGGTGTAAGCTGTATACGGTGTAAGCCACATTTAGTGTAAGCTGTATTAGGTGTAAGTTGTATAAGGTGTAAACTGTATTCGGTGTAAGCTTTATGCGGTGTAAGCTGTATTCGGTGTAAGCTGTATTCGGTGTAAGCTTTATGCGGTGTAAGCTGTATTCGGTGTAAGTTGTATTCTGTATAAGCTGTATTCGGTCTAAGTTGTATTCGGTGTAAGCTGTATTCGGTGTAAGCTGTATATGATGTAAGCTGTTTTAGGTGTAAGCTGTATTAGGTGTAAGTTGTATTAGGTATAAGCTGCATTTGGTGTAATTTGTATAAGGTGTAAGCTGTATAAGGTGTAAGCTGTATAGGGTGTAAGCTGTATTCGGTGTAAGTTGTATTCTGTATAAGCTGTATTCGGTGTAAGCTGTATTCGGTGTAAGCTGTATTCGGTGTAAGCTGTATATGATGTAAGCTGTTTTAGGTGTAAGCTGTATTAGGTGTAAGTTGTATTAGGTATAAGCTGCATTTGGTGTAATTTGTATAAGGTGTAAGCTGTATAAGGTGTAAGCTGTATAGGGTGTAAGCTGTATACGGTGTAAGTTGTATAAGGTGTAAGCTGTTTATGATGCAAGCTGTTTTAGTTGTAAGCTGTATTAGGTGTAAGTTGTATAAGGTATAAGCTGTATTAGGTGTAAACTGCATTTGGTGTTAGCTGTATACGGTGTAAGTTGTATTAGGTGTAAGCTGTATTCGGTGTAAGCTTTATGCAGTGTAAGCTGTATAAGGTGTAAGCTGTATACGGTATAAGCTGTATAAGGTGTAAGCTGTATAAGGTGTAAGCTGTATAAGGTATAAGCTGTATTAGGTGTAAGCTGTATTAGGTGTAAGCTGTATTAGGTGTAAGCTGTATCAGGTGTAAGCTGTATAAGGTGTAAGCTGTATTAGGTGTAAGCTGTATAAGGTGTAAGCTATATAAGGTGTAAGCTTTATACGGTGTTAGCTGTATAAGGTGTTAGCTGTATTAGGTGTAAGCTGTATAAGGTGTAGGCTTTATGCGGTGTAGGCTTTATGCGGTGTAGGCTTTATGCGGTGTAAGCTGTTTAAGGTGTAAGCTGTATTAGGTGTAAGCTGTACAAGGTGTAAGCTTTATACGGTGTAAACTGTATACGGTATTATAGGCAACATACACAACTTATGCGCAAGCTTATTCGTCGTAAGCAGCTGTTTACGGTGAAACACGACCTTTATCCCACTCCGGCCGGATCGTCATTTTGTTTTAGCGCATTGTCCGATATTTTATAGCTATTTTAATTGAATGCAATGGCGTATATTTAAGCTTTGAAACTTAAAACACATTTCTTTTCTATAGTCAGACACAGGTAGTTGCAAAAACATATAAATTACATAATTAAAAATAATGTTGGGATCACATGGGTTGACTCACATGGCCAGCATTACAACCTGGGATGAGTGAAAAATGTGACAGTGGCTTAATGCCAGTACATCTAAGTCATATTACATTGTACGTACATGCGTCTATCCTTTGATATCTGTCGGAGGTCGTACATAAATTACGGTGAGTTTTATTAGTTTCTATTGTGCATTTTTTCCGCCTATGTTCAGGATATATATAAAACATCGTAATTACATTCGATTTTAACTGTCTAATTTGAATTGTATATTACATTTAACAATGCCAACACACGAATTGCGTATCCCAGGGAAACGAGTGGTCCACCAATTTAAATTTAAATACGGTTTTGTTTGATCGGTGAACCTGAAATTCAATAAAAGTTTTCCGGCTAAAAAAATTCTTAAAAACACCTTTTCCAGTCAATGCGTTAAATCTGAAAACGAAATAAGTAAAGTGGAATATATATAATAATCAAAGATGTTTCGTGACGTTGGGGTAATATAATTTCTTAGGTGTATTAAACATCGTTTGATGTCGTTATTAATATAATAATAATAACAAAAATTCCCTCAGAAAAATTACTCACACTTCTGACTTATATTTTAATAAATTTGAATGAATTTAACTCGGTTAACGTTTGATGTGAGTGTTACGAAATAAGAATTGAAAGAAAACATAAACATTCCTTGATGAAAAGTACATTGCTTTTGTGAATGATGGAAATCGGTTATATGTTTAATATCTATAGAATTCATTTATTTACATATAAAATGATGAAAAACAGATTAAATTAACATACAATTAAGGACATTCATCAACACTTGTACTGTAAAATAAGCGACACACAATAAACTATTGAGAATAAAACTATTTCTTACAGTTAGGTATTTTTAAAGTTTTCTTTCTTTTTAGGCTAAGT